AGATCGGGGGGCAGAAATATTTATACTCGAACGACTTGTTAAATTTCGACAGAACTCATCTTGAACCGACCAAAATTATGCAAAACTTCCGTCGAGATTTCTCGAGCCAGGTAGGCCGCCAGCGCCCCGGAATTTTTCTTAAGCTTCGCCGCTTCGCTCTTGGGGCAGCTCTATAAGTCATTCCCTGTGATGAGTGTGCATCTAAGCTCCGCATCTAGCTTACAGCTCGAGTTCATCTGAAGACACACATATCATTGTTCAGTGATAGTAGTGTGTCAGTCGTAGCTCTGGTTTCAGGCCGATTTCAGACGTCTCGATGCTGTAGGCGCATGTGCCTGATAAATCCTTGTTTGGAGGTGCTCTACCAAGCTCCGTAGAGAAAACAAACATCATCTTGTAAACCATTACCATATCTCAAACAGTTTTTGGGTCTCAGCACTGGTAGCAGGCCGACCGGAGGCATCTAGATACTTCAGACTCGCACTCCAGATGATTCTCTTTCAATCGCTGTGCCGAAGAGCTCTCTGGCTCATCCGCAGCTCGAGTCAAGGAAACCGACAGCACCTGTCAAGATCACACTCAATACCCAATCCCGCCTGATTGCTTTTTGATCGTAGTATCCACCCGATCGACCTGAGATGAAGATGGCGGGTGGGAATCAGATCGAAGATGGGAGGAACAAATGCTTGAGCCCTAACGAATGTTTGAATTTCGAGAAACGTATCTTTTCAATGCGAGAATTATGCAAAACTTCCATCGAGGTTTTTCGAGCCAACTAGCCCGCCAGCCCGCCGGAATTACTCTCAAGCTTCGCCGGTTCCCTCTTCAGGGAAGCTCTACGAGTGAGACCGATCCCAGGTCATCACATTGTCCGCCCGGGCTGGGTGGGCCAAGCTGGAAGCTGGCGGTGAACCGTCAACCTTGGTTACCGCCTGGAATTCGTAGAGCTTCCTTACCGTGAATATGAGCGGCATGCGAGCGCGCCGATTACGCATTCAGCGCGCGTGAGGGTCTGCGGTTTCATAGAAATGCGCTTGGCAGCTTCTTTGTCTACAGCTCGGGTTCAGTTGAGACAGACACCAGCGCAAGATAGTACACGACATAAGCTGAACATTAGATACAGAACATATGTAAACCTGAAGAAACTCACGTCACGCGTAGAGCATGCGAGCTTGCAACTGTTTGCGCAGAGCAACTAGTTTGTCGCAGCTCTGGTAGAAGCCCGATCTCAGACGTCTCGATACTGCAGGCTAGCGCTCGTCATGATTTCTAGTCGAACAGTCTGCTTCCCAGCTGCAGCTCGAATTGAGTAGAGAAAACCAGCACCGCCTAACCAACTTTTCAAGAACGCAACTAGTTTTTTGGACGCAGCTCTGATAGCAGACCGATCTCAGCCGTCTAAATGCTTTATATTTGCGATTCTCAACATTACCTGCCGATTCGTGTATATCTGCTCCGTGGCAGCCTGCAGCTCGAATTATGAAGACAAGCCATCATCTTTCCAAAGTTTTTCAGTTGTAGCTCTGGTAGCAGACCAATCTCAGACGTCTCGATACGGTGCGCGACTGTGTCTGTTGATTTCCTGTTCGACGGTGTCCTTTCCAGCTCCCTAGCTTGCCTGCAACTCGAATTAAGCGCAGAATTCCAACGCCTTCTTCATAAAAATGAATGGGTGCAAATGATTATTTGGTAACAGCTCTGGTGGCAGACCGGTCTCAGGCGTGTGAATACTTTAGACAGGTGCTTCTCAGCATTCCCGATCGATTGGTGTGCATTGTAGCTCCGTAGCTGGCCTAGAGCTCGAATTCAATTGACGAAGCGCGCATCATCTCTCGTAGAATTCTTACAGTGCGAATAGTTTTTGTCAGTCGCAGCTCTGGTTGCAGGCCGAATTGAGACGTCTTGATGCCGTAGGCGAATGTGCCTGGTGACTTTCTGTTTCGAAAAGTGCCTCCCATCTCCGTAGCCAGCCTACAGCTCGAGTAAAGTAGAGGGAACTAACATCATCTGTTAAAGAACTAGCAGCGTACGAACAGTTTATTGGTCCCAGCTCTGGTAGCAGACCGATCTCGGGCATCTAGATACTTGAGACTAGCGCTCCTGATGATGTCCTTTCGATTGATTTTGCGAACAGTTCTGTAGCGCATCTACAGCTCGAGGTAAGTTCAGAAAACCGACAGCACCTGCCAATATGACACTCGACAGCAAATCCCGCCCAAGTGTGTTTTGATAGTAATAATCACCCGATCGACCTGAGATCAAGATGGCGAGCGGGAATCATATCGCAGATGGGGGGGGGGGAATATTAGAGTTCCAACGAATTGAATTTCTAGAAATTGATTTTAGAAATGCCCAAAACAGACACAGCTTCCGCTGATATTTTCGAGCCAACTACCCCGCCGGCTCGCCCGAATTACTCTCAAGCTTCGCCGATTCGCTCTTAGTTTAGCTCTACGAGTTACTAGCTCCACCCCGCGCCGGAATTCCTCTAGCGCATCGATGCCGAAGAGCTCTACCAGGTACTAGCTCCACCCCGCGCCGGAATTCCACTAGCTCATCGATGTCGGAAGCTCCACGACGTATTTTAACTTATTAAATTTGGAGGCAGAGGTGCAGGGGCGGCCGCGAGGGAAACTGGAAGCCGGCGGTAAACCGTCGACCTTGTCTACCGCATTGGGAACTCGTAGAGCTTCCTTCGATGTGCATGAATGGCATGCGAGCGCGGCAATCTCGCATCCCGCGCGCGCGAGGGTGCAGTTTCATAGAAATGTGCTTCACAGCTCCCTGCTTGTCCACAGCTCGAGTTCGTCTCGATACTGCAGACTAGCGCTCGTGATCAATCCCATTCGAACAGTCTGCTTCCCAGCTGTGTAACTTGCCTACAGCTCGAATCAAGTAGAGAAAACCAGCACCGCCTATCTAAAGTTTGAAGAGCGCAACTAGTTTTTTAGTCGCAGTTCTGGTAGCAGACCGATCTCAACCGTCTACATGCTTCCAATTAGCGCTTCTCAGCATTTCCTTTCGATTGGTGTATATCTGAGCTCCGTAGCAGGCGGTTCCTCCGCGTCTTTTGATAGTAATGCTGCAGCTACGGGCCTGAGAATTTCACTGGCAGACGCGGCGTAACCCACTGCGCGTGAGAAGAATATCGGTTTTCAAAACGAGTGGTATAATAGCTCACAATGTTCGCCCAGACGACCCAAACTTCGCGCATTGTCCGCCCGGGCCGGGTCGGCCACCGGGACGCCGGCGGTAAACCGTCAACCTGGTTGCCGCCGGTGGCCTCGTAGAGCCCCCCCCGCCCCCGTCCGACGCCATCGACGCGGCCGAGTTTAAACTCAGCTGCGCCATCGACCCATTCCGCGCCGCAAGCGTGCATCGCCTGGCCAGATCGGCCGCCGCACCAGGATCAAACCCGTCCACCGCGCCCGCCTTCCTCGCCCTGCTGCACTGCCGCTGCCTATCCGTGCGAGTGCCGAGCGGGCCGCGCCGACGGATCGAGCTCATTCCCCTGCATAACGGCACCCCCCAAATCCGTCAGACGCCAGCTGCGACAAGCGCCCCGCGAGACCCCCGAACGCTGCCGCGCTGGTGCTTGGCCAGGTCATCGTTCTTTCCGAGGCGAAAACATGCGTCGCTTGATCGGCGCCGCCGCCGCGCGAAGATCCAGCCATTCATTCGCGCGCGCCCTGCCGCCCCGCTACGGGGCCAGCCCCCCCCCCCCGCTCCAGCCGCTCCGCCCTCGCGGAGCGCCGGCGGAGACAAGGGGGGTAGGGGGCAATCTGATGAAAACATCGCAGCGCGACCTTGCCGTATTTAGTCCGCGCCGACCACCCGCCCCTCCTCGCCGACAACTGTCCGCCTTGCCCATGCCCTGCCGGGTGGAACGCCGAGCGGGCCGCGCCGCAGGATCCAATTCATTCCTCGTCATATCCGAGCCCCCCCCCCCCCACGGGGCCCCTCGGATCATCGATCCTTTTCGAGGCGGCGCCGCGCGCCACTTGATCGGCGCCGCCGCCGCGCGAAGATCCAGCCCTTTATCCACGCCCATCCCCCTTGCACCGCTGGCGCTCCGGAGGGGGGGGGCGCCGCCCACTACGGGGCCAGCCCCTCCTCCGCTCCAGCCACTCCGCCCTCGCGGAGCGCCGGCGAAGGGAAGAGGAGATGGGGGGGGAGGTGCGCACCCCGCAGCACGGCCTTGCCCGATTGAGCCCGCGCCGAGCACCCGTGCCCTCCTCGCCAACGACTGCCCGCCCTGACCATGCCCTCTCGGCGCGATAGCGCCGAGTGGGCCACGCCGACGGATCCAGCCCAATCCTCGGCAAATCCGAAGCCCTGCAGGCCCCTCGGATCATCGATCTTGTCCGACGGAAACCATCCACACTCGATCGGCGCCACCTTGTGAATATCTTACGACAGATAATGTGCGTTTCCTGAATTCAATTCGATATGTAGGCCAGCTACGGAGCTGAGATGCACGCCAATCGCCAGGACATGATAAGGACCAGTCGAAAGTATCTAGATGCCTGAGATGGGTCTGCTACCAGAGCTGCGAGGAAATATTTTGTTGTTGCACTTCTCATTTTACGTAGTTCGAGTTATAGGCAAGCTATGGAGCTGGGAAACACACCGCTCAACAAGAAATCATCAGACAAATAGTCAAGACGTTTGAGCTCTAACTGAACGGCTACTCGCTTTCTGCAATTTTTTGTGACACATAAATGTTCATCGGAGGTTCAGCAGCACCAGACTTATAAACTGTATAACGGTTATCGCGCCCAAACTATAAACTACATATGGTCGCGCATGTAAGCACACACGCACTCCAAACAGCATATGCGGTTCTGCAGTTTCGTATAAAACATGGTAGTCAGTGCATCAGGAATCATCCCGCCTTTGCCTGCTGCTACGCCACCCACCCCAACCTCTGATCAAGTAAACTCACCCCTCCTTTTTTTCCATCTCCTCAATGACTCGATGGTGCTTGGAAAGGGTCATGTGGGAAATCAGTACACGAAGTTGTTGTTGCTAATTGGGTGGCGTGTGAGGCTGCTTTATGTATCAGCCTCAGCCCCGTAGCTAGTTGTGTTCGAGCTGGCTCATCCATCAGAGAGTATGGTTCGCTGTCGTGTTGTGGTATGCTTGCTCTCGACATTGTCATTTTCATTTGTGTCGATGCTTCTGGCACCGTTGCAGGACTTGAAGCCTCCTCACCTCGCCTTGGGCCAAGTCGTACAGACACTAAAGCAAGTCAGTGGTGCAATGCCCAGTGCTTCCAAACTTGGCGGTGAAGAAGAAAGTACAGACGCACCCACCCGGAACTCGGATCTTCGGGCTGGGAATAATATTGGAAGTAATGGGACAGCGGAAGGCTTCGAGGGACTTCCCACCTCGTCCCTCTCCCCCTCCCTCTCCCCCTCCCGTTCCCCCTTGCTCTCCCTCTCACCCTCATTGCTTCAGTCGCGAAAGTACCCGCCTGGCTTATTGGACCTTTTAGATCATGCTGACACGATGTGTCAGTTTCCCACCGTGGATTGGATTTCGACTGAAGGCACGGCGACGGGTTTTAATGCGTCGATTGCGGATCGTGGAGGGTATCGTAGTGCTTTCGGCGAACCGCCACCTCCCCCTGCGTTTTGGGCCCAGCGTTGGTGTGTTTCCCCAACCGTCCTGGAATCCCTTAGTGGAACACTCGGGAGAGAATGAGCAAGGCCGGGGAGGAGGATATGACATCGGAGAAAAACCCAAGCATAATCTCGTTTTTGAGTATGTGGGCTATGGGGCTATGGGGCCATGGGGCTATAGGGATATAGGGCTATAGGGCTACAGGGCTATAGGGCAATAGTGCAATAAGGCTGTAAGGCTATAGGGCTACAGGGCTATAGGGCTACAGGGCATTCGGGCGATTGGGCTGTAGGGCTATTGGGCTATTGGGCTATAGGGCGATTGGGCTATAAGGCAATAGGGCAATCAGGCTGTAAGGCTATGGGGCTATGGGGCTATACGGCTATAGGGCTATAGGGCTATTGGGCTATAGGGCTATGGGGCTATAGGGCAATAGGGATATAGGGCTACAGGGCTATAGGGCTATAGGGCTACAGGGCTATATGGCTATAGGGCTGTAGGTCTGTAGGGCTGTAGGGCTATAGGGCTATAGGGCAATAGGGCAATAAGGCTGTAAGGTTATATGGCTATAGGGCTACAGGGCTATAGGGCTATAGGGCAATAGGGCTACGGGTCTATAGGGCTATAGGTCTATCGGGCTATAGGGCTATGGGGCTATAGGGCAATAGGGCTATAGGGCTATAGGGCTATAGGGCTATATGGCTACAGGGCTATAGGTCTGTAGGGCTCTAGGGCTATAGGGCTATAGTGCTTTAAGGCACCCAGGCACCCGGGCACCGGGGCATCCGGTCAGCCGGGCACTCGGGCACCCGGGCACCGCGGAAGTCGGCGGCGAACCTCTCCGGGGCACCCGGGCACCCGCGCGTGCCGCCGAAATCGGCGCCATAGCTAACCTAACCAGATGAATCCGCTAGGACCCCTACAGAGGCAAGCTCTGATCGGGGAACAAAGAAAAAAGAGGACGATGATGATGATGATGATGATGATGATGATGATGATGATGATGATGATGATGATGATGATGCTGATGCTGATGCTGATGCTGATGCTGATGCTGATGCTGATGCTGATGATGCTGATGCTGATGCTGATGCTGATGCTGATGCTGATGCTGATGCTGATGCTGATGAGGATGAGGATGAGGATGAGGAGGAGGAGGAGGAGGACCAGTGTAAACACAATATTCACCTACGATGTTGCAATCGCTCCTCCCTCCAAGTTCCCTGTTCATAGGCCCCATACAACAATTTATTCCCACTGAGGGGAGTGCCCCGTTGGAAATCAACCATCTGATAATCCTGATCCGTGCCAAGCTGCCATTCCTGCGGCTTCCACGCCGCGAAGCAACGCTGCTGTGGCGACCTGATGACTGTGAATCGTGCCAGAACGCCATTCCTGGGATTTCGACACCGCGAATCCACGTGCAGGTTGAGCCCTGACAGTCCTGCATCGTGCCGAAACGCAGTTCCTGGGACGCCAGCCATAGGAGTCTTAGAGCCAGTCGTAACCTGTTAAGACGAATTTTGGCGCCGCTATGGCGAGAGCCACATTTTGAAAAGGAACCGCACTCCATTGGTGAAACTGTTGAACACTTTAAAGACGAATGTAAGCGGCTCGCAGGCGAGATCCACATCTTGAAAAGGAACTGCCCTCCATCCTTGACGCCGTTGTCAACTTTTATGACGAACGTGCGCGGCGCTAAGGCGAGAGTCACAATTTGAAAGCGGCCCGGACTCCATCAGTGAAGCTGTTGGAAATTTCGAGTTTAAGGGTCGTAGATGGTGAGGAATTCTCAGGCAATGCCCAGCCCGCCCTACCGACACGTCTCGTGGTGAGGCAAGGGGGAGTTAATCATACGGAAAAGGGAGGAGGAGGAGGAGCAGGAGGAGGAGGAGGAGGAGGAAGATGAGGAAGCAGATGATGCCCCTTGAAGCCTTCCTGGGGCCTCCTGCTGAGATCCTCTTAAGCGGCCTCTGAGGGTTCTTTTGGGCGCCTCCTGGAGCTCTTGGCGGCCGCTAGGGGCTTCTCAGTGGCCTCTAAGTGGCCTCCAGAGGCCGTCTTGGTGGCCTCTCTGGACAGTCGGGGGCTCCGTTTTGGGGCTACATTTTGGGCCGTCCTGGGCCTTCTTGTGCCGTCTTTGGGCCTCTTGGGGGCCTCTGGGTGCCCATGGGGCCGTCTTGGAGCTTCGGAATCCCGAAAATGTGAGAACGCTAAACCCATTGAATAATCTGAGGAGCATCAATCATTTCGGCCTCTTGGAGGTCCTCTGGAAGCCCTCTTTCGGGCCTCTTGGGTCGTCCGGAGGGCATCGTGGGCCGTGTTGGGGCCATTTTGGGACGGCCGTCTTCGAGGCCATCTTGGAGACTTTTTCGGGCGTCTGAGGGGCAGAGGAAGGAGGAGCATCGTGGCGGTCTCGGGGGGCCCCTTGGCACAGGAGAGCTCGTGTGGCCAGTTAGTTTTTCCCTTCCAGGCCGAGAAAGTCGAAACACATAGTGTCTCAATGATGTTTGGCCCCTGGTGAAAGTCACGCGTCGATCCCCAAGAGCGCCCGTGAATGCGGCCCTTGCGTTACTTCACAGAACGCGAGGGGGCCTGAGGCCAGTCCACTCAGCGCCTACGTCATAGTAGCGGATTCCGATTTGCATAGTTTGTGGAAGGCCTTCATCGCGGTGCAGAATCGGCAGGGTGCATTGACGCCTGATCGAGAAGCGGGTGCACGCTTGCTAGTCTTCAAAAGTTCCTCAGGTCAAGGTTTAGGGAATGTTATGGGAGGGATCGCGTTTGCTTTATATGCTGCTATTTACAGCGGCCGAGCTTTTTCTATTGAGTCGAGTGTATTTGAGAAGATTCTGTCGCCGCGATATGTCGATTGGCGGAGTCTTGGTCGTTCTGCCGTGTGTAAACAGACGTATTATGCGAATTCTTTCGGTCGATCAACACCTGTATCGTCGCTCTTTGCTGCATTGGAGGCGACGAGTGGTACGGTGTGCTTGGAAAGCAACCTCGATGCGAGAGGTTGGGTCTACAATCTGAGCCGACGTAATCTGACAATGTTGGGATTCAGAAGCACGACTCTCATGGATTTACTCACAGCCATAGTGGCGCGTGGCTTGCCTCATAAACGATTTTTGGGTAACGCATGCGCTTTCCATTTCCTCTTCGCTTCGCCGCCTTCCTTGGTCAACGCCACTCTCCGCAAGACGAGTGAGTTTCGAAGCGGGAGTGGAGACTCTTTGGGTGTGAGCATACAGCTGCGGACAGGAGATTCGTATGCCAGGTTCGCTGGTGGGAGAGACATGCGCGAGGTCATCACGAACGGCCGCTATGGCCTGGGCTCCCCAGAGGCGGCCGCTCGTGCGATGCTTTCCTGCGTCGAGCAGATTTGCGCGCCGCTGCAGCGCGGCATCCTGTGTGAGGCTGCTTCTTGCAGGCTGGTTACGTGTTCCGTTTTCTTCGAGGCGGACGCGAGGCAGGCACGCGATGCAGCAGCAGCGTGGGGATCGTCAGTCGGGCACAACCTCAAAAGTGTAGTTCGAGTACATGTGCCAGAGGCGACACCACTGCACAGCAGCGTGAAGGGCGTGCAGGGCATGGTTGAGACTCTGTCTACTGCTCTAGCGTTGGCAACCAATCCTGTCCTTTTGAGAACAGGTGGGGGGCTGGGCACTTTGGTGCGCAATTTGGGTCCCATTCCTCAGGGTAGCGGTACGACAACCATTCTTTTCGAGGACCTCATCAGGAATTTCACTGGCAACAAGGACAAGAATTGGGTCAAGTGTGATTTGGGAGAGTTGGGGACGAGTTATGTAACCGAATACGGGAAGAATTGGCGCTTGTGACGATTGTCGATCGCAAGTTTTTTTTATTTGGATTGCAATCACACAATTTACACAACTCCTTGACACGTACTTCCCGAGCAATCTCGGTCAGCACGCCCGTACTGATCCGAGTTGACGTATTGACGGAGCAAGTTGCAGTCCTCCGCTTCGCCAGGTGTTCGCCTGTTGAAACACATATACTAATGGAGTTCCCCACATAAGGATATTGAGGACTTCGTGGGATCAATGAGGCAAACTCATCGCAATATGAATGGGAGGGCCATCGCACACACATGCGCGACAGAACCGACAGACGAAGGCAAGGAGGGGGAGCAGCAGGGAGGACAACGACTGCTGCTCAGGAAGCACGTTCGTCCCTGGATGTATGGGACGGGCACGACACCTGATACATACACTGTTTTCCAAAAACCCTACTCGCGCAGGCGGGGCCTCCCTGAAGCAGTGGGAGGGGCGCGAAACCTGACACATACCATTGTTTTCGAACGCCTACTCGCGCAGGCGGGGCCTCCCTGGAGGAGTGGGAGGGGCACGACACCTGATACATAACATGGTTTTCGAAGACCCTCCTCGCTCAGGCGGGGCCTCCCTGCAGGAGTGGGAGGGGCACTACACCTGATACATAACATGGTTTTCGAAGACCCTCCTCGCTCAGGCGGGGCCTCCCTGGAGGAGTGGGAGGGGCACGAAACCTGACAAATACAATGGTTTTCGAACACCCTCCTCGCTCAGGCGTGGCCTCCCTGGAGGAGTGGGAGGGGCACTAAACCTGATGAGTCATATTGTTTTCGAATACCCTCCTCGCTCAGGCGGGGCCTCCCTGCAGGAGTGGGAGGGGCACGACACCTGACAAATAACATGGTTTTCGAATGCCCTCCTCGCTCAGGTGGGGCCTCCCTGGGGAGATGAGTGGGAAGGGCACGACACCTGACACATAAGATGGGTTTCGAATACCATCCTCGCTCAGGCGGGACCTCCAAGGAGGAGTGGGAGGGGCACGAAACCTGATACATACAACGGTTTTCGAATACCCTCCTCGCTTAGGCGGGGCCTCCCTGGAGGAGTGGGAGGGGCGCGACACCTATTCGAAAACCATGGTTTCCCAAAACCATCCTTGCTTAGGCGTGGCCTTCCTGGAGGGGTTGGAGGGGCACGACAACTTGTACACAGTATGGTATCCAGATACTGTCCTCGCTCAGGTGGGGCTTCCCTGGAGTGGTAGGTATGGCATGGTAGCTTTGGTATGGTAGGTGTGGTATGGTATGGTAGGTATGGTATGGTATGGCAGGTATGGCATGGTATGGTAGGTATGGTGTATCATGGCATAAGGTGGTAATTCTGACATGGCATGGTAGGCTTGGAATGACAGGCGTGGTCGGTATGGTATGGTATGGTGTTGTAAGTATGGTTTAGTAGGTGTGGTATGGCAGGTATGGTATGGTAGGTAGGTATGGTAGTGATATGGTACGTATGGGTGTGATATAGTAGGGAGGCGGGAAAAAAAGGAAAATGACAACGAGGAAAAGGAGAAGGAGAGGGTGTTCTAGAACAGCAAGAGTCCTACTCAGGATGTGGGGAAAACGTTGTGTAGCCCAAACGCGACATGTTGTGTACCAGGCGCATAATAACCAGTCATACCTAGCGCTTCCCTCGCTCTTTTCAGCTGCCCTTAACACTATACACTATTCCTTTACGTCGAATCGGTAGGGCTTGGGGCTGAAGCGGAGAGCGTCTCTCCGCAGCTGCCAATCTTGCTCAAGGCAAGCGTAGCGCGCGCGCCCTCGCTCCCACTCAGCTGGCCGGTGCCCTCACACACATACATACACACACTGCCTAAAGTAAGTTCGCTGAACGGGCATGTCTAGCCATGTACTCGCCAGTTCGCCAGAACTCGTCCGCCTCTCCTGAGCTACAAGAAGAACAACAACTGTGATAACAACCTATCAAATGCAACAAACAACATTATTAACATCGATCAATATCGTCTTCTTCGACCCTGACGATGTCAGGGTTCCGATGCTACCCTCTTCGCAACATACGAGAAGTCATGCTCCAGTCTCTATCTCTAGTAGTGACGGCCCTTCGGGACGTCCAGACACGCCCAGACCGTCGGAAGAGTCCAACGAAGACAATGGAAATCCGCCCATCGCGGTTTCATCGGAGGAATGTGACTTGAAAACTTCCACAACGAGGTCGTTGACGACGGCAGGAAGGCACAGCGATGAGGTATTTTGTCAGACCAGTGGGAACGAACCCGAACATCACAACCGCCAGATGATGTCGGCGACTCGGGATCGGAGGCGAGCGCAGAGGGACGTTCGCGCTGTGCTACGCCGCCACCCACTGGGGCCTTGGGCCCAGACGCGCGGGAAATTTCGAGACGTGCCCAACAGGGCACGCGATTTTGAGAGCCCGTCCTCCGAGTGCCAGGCCCAGTGGGTCTGCCAGGCGCCGACTGGCCCCGAGCGTTATCAGGTGCTTCATCTCACTCCGCCTGCACAGCCCGCTTGAATGCATCTAGTTGCCGCGTGGCCGACGACTGCTTCAACAAAGGGACCGATTGCGCCGAGGCGCCCAAGTTCAGATGCCCGGGTCTCTTCGGGAGATGTAAGCAGGTTGTTTGATCGCCTGGGCAATCAGCTGTTTGCTTGGCAGCCTGTTTTTCCTGCGTCCAGGCTCACTGGCGCGCGCAACTGCCCTGCGCTTCGCCATCGTGAGGCTGCGTGTGTGTGTGTGTGTGTGTGTGTGTGTGTGTGTGTGTGTGTGTGTGTGTGTGTGTGTGTGTGTGTGTGTGTGTGTGTGTGTGTGTGGGTGGGTGGGTGTGTGTGGAGGGAGAAGCGCGAGGTCGTGGTGGAGGAAAGGGAAACTTGCGCGTCCCAAGTGAGGGGGCAAATCGTGGCAGTGGAATTGCAGCAGAGGGCAGCCGCGAGGCTTCAGTTGGAAGAGATTGCCGGGCAGCTGTCTGGGCACTCGGTCTGTCTGAGATGCAGCTGCAGCTCATTCTATCGCAGCGCGCCGAGAAAGCCACCGCTGCGCTACAAGGGGTGGCGCAAAGATCAACGGCGTCCGAGGCCGCCGAGAGGAACGCGCGTGCCTTCGAGGAGGCCATCGCCGAGAAGACCGTCCTTGCTTCCCCAGGGGCCGGACAAAGCCAGTCGTCCTTCGTTGGACCGTTGGCCGCCGACTTGAAGGCTGCAGAGGCGCGATGTGCCGCGCTGGCGTCAGAGGCGAATGTGGGTATTCAGGAGGCCGTGGCGAGTGGGCGTGCTGCCGTCGAGGCTGCGAAGCGTGCTGCGGACGAAAGTACAATGCTGATGCACCGTGCCCAAGGCGAGGTCAATGGCTCTCGGCAGCGGGGGCGTGCGATCGCAATGGGATCGAACGCGACGTGCGCGGGTGCGCGGGCTGAGGCTACAGACGCACGGACGGAAGCGAAAGCAGTGGAATTGGAAGCCAACGCCAGGTTTGGAGCCGCTTCTCGCAGCATGGAGATGACTGCGTCTGGGACGCTAAAGCCTTGGGTTCGCCGCGCGAAGCCGAAGGTTGCGAGCTGGCTGAGTGGCGAATTCAGATCAGTTTGCGAGGACATGCGTCGCAGGATAGGCCGGCCTCGCCTGCGGCGGCGGTGGGCGGCGCGTCGACGTCTCGCGAGGCCGCGCAGCGACCCGCCCGATTTGCTGCGATTGCTGGATCTCTTTCGTGTTTTCTATGTGACAGGAATGCCGACACTGTACGGGGGCATATCGTTATGGTCACAACGATCGGGATGAGGACAAGTGCGTAAACTGCGTCAGGGAGCGAGAAGCAGAGGAGAGATGGAAGGGCGTGTTGCCACCCAGACTGTGCCAGGTGCCGGGCCGTTCGACTGTCGACGCTTACCGTTTGAGCTCATTGGAGATGCTGCGGGCGCCTCGGATCAACGAGTAGAAAGCGAGGTTGCTCGACGTCTGAAGACATTCGAGGGCGTCGCAAGGACCGAACGCCGCAGACTGGCATCGATGCTCCGCGAAGCAGACATAAACGCGGAACGCCGCGTCGAGGCGAGTGGTCAGGAGCGGGGGCCCCGCTCGGAAAAACGGGCCGAGCTTGAATGGCTCGCCGGAAGGCGTGGGGTGGAGAGGGGGGCAGGCCTTAGGACAAGGAGAGACTAGGGCGACGCGCGGGCAGTGCCTGTGACGAGGTTCCATGGGCATGCTCTCCGTGATCCGAATAAGCTCGGTGGCGGCAATGCCGGCGGCGGAGGCGCTCTCGGGGGGCGGGGGGGCCGGGGGATTTCGGCCGCCGAGGGCGCGGCCCCCGCCGGAGGGGAGAGGGGCCCGGGCCCGCCCGGAGTCTGCGATGGGGATTCCGATGACGAGTCTGGCTTTGACGCAGACGAATCCGACGACGACGATGGGGGCGACGAGCCCCCCGGCGAGGACGAAAGCGATCGCGGAGACAAGCGGCGTAGACGTTGCGACCCGCCTCGAGGAGATCCCTCGCCTGGTGGCGGAGGACTGGGATTTCCTACGAAAGATGTTCAGGGGGCGGCTGGCATTTGGGTTTGGGCCGACGTGGGGGGGGGCTGGTGAGGCAGTTCTGGTCCGCGCCCCCGACGCGAGCGGGCGTGGGAAATGGGTGAGGAGTGTCGTCAGGCTGGCATCGCCCAGTTCAACGCAGTGGAAAAAAGGCGCCCCCCCGCATGCAGGCTGCCTTTCAAGTGAAAGATGTCTAGTCCAAGGCCCTCGATGACCCCGGCGAGTTTTGAGGGCTCGACCTGATGATTGCGTCTGACCTAATGTCCAAAGTCATTGGATAGCAAAATGCCCAAAGGCATCCCCACCGATGAGGCACTTTGCTAGTGAGACCGACCGCTTAGATTCACAGTATCTGAAGAAGTCGGATATGTTGGCAGGCCGAGCTATTCTGCGGGCACTTGCCGCCCTCCTCACCGCCATGCAGGATCACGGTCAGGCGTGCGCGCATCAGGAGTTGATGGAAGTTAAGATCCGCGGTTTGGGCAAGCAGTCAGACGATGACTTGTTTGCATTTTTACGACGAATGGATGGGGAGCATGAATAACAGACGCGCCTCGCAATTCGCTCCGGCCTTCGAATGTGAAGATGTGCCCGAGCATGGCCAGGACTCTTCGGTGTATGAACTTTGTGCTGATGAGCACGGCTAAGGCATGAAGTCGCATGAGTCGCTGCTTGCGCGGATCAGCAGGCGCGTGCGCGCAGAGCGGGGCAGACGCAAACGTGATGTTCAGCGCGAGCAGCGGATCGCCCGCGGCCCCCCAGTGGGAGGATCGGAGGGTGGTGGCGGAGGCGGGTGCGACAGGACCAGGTCGTCGCATTATATGAAGGGCGGAACAGTGTCGGAGAAGGACGTTGGCTGTGCTCATTATCTCAGGGGGGGAGTAATTTCCCGCGCTGAGGGCCCTTATAGAAGCCCGAGTGGAGCCTCAGCAGCCCCTGCGCTGCCTGATGTTGCCCCAGCATGCAAAGGTGGCGGGGGCGGATCGGGCCGCGAGAAGAATGATGGGCCCGAAAAGGATGGCGCCGAAGGTGGGGCAGATCGCGGCAGAAATCAGGAGCGAAGGGGGGATCTGAACGCGAACGGTCTCGGAGCAATGGATCAAGTGCAACTTCCTCGAAAACGGATTGTGCTGCGCCTTCGGCCAGGGAGCGTGCTCGCTGTCGCAAGACCAGTGTTCGCGACAGTAACGCAAGGCGACGGATGAAGAAGAGCTCGCGCGCGACAAGAGGGGGCCGATGCGGAAATAGAGAAGGAGGGGCTCCCGTGCAAACGGAACGCCGACCAAAAATCCGCCGCCGCACATAATGTTCAACGTGAATAAATGCGGCTCCAGGCGGACCTGGAGGTTGGGAGCCCGATGAAACCAAGGGCAGAAGGAAAGGATCAGGAACCGCGGCAGTGCTGGAGGTACCTTGCGCATGGTTCTTGCTCTTGCCCATGTGGGAAGCATTGTCGGGGCGGGAAACATGTCCCTGGACATCCTTGGCGAGGGGGGCCGGCGTGCAGCGGCAGCGTCGCTGACGTCGGCCACGTAGGGGGGGCGCGTTGGTTGACGCTTCTCCTGCAGTATGTTATGCCAGATCAGGGTTCCACGCGTTTCCATGCGAAACGGGAATTGACTTAGGTGATGCCGAGGTCTGTGACCTTGGCGGTCGCGCGAGGGGAAATGGGCGTGCGGCTCCAGCGTCATGCCGAAGGGGTGTGATCTCATTCCCCTTTGCCCGACTGTCAAGATGCCTTCGGGCTGGGGGCGTCAGATCGCCCCCAAGTGTCGCTTTGGATTTGCTGCAGAATGGCGGGCCAGGGCGGGGTATCCTGCGCAGCAATGCGGAGGGCGATGCCAGCAGAGAGGCGATCCGGCGGTGCTGGGCACGCGTGCATCATTCCACTCCCGTCCCAGGCGCGCGCTCCCTGCGCGCTCCTCGGAAGAAGAGTCCGTGGGTCATGAGGGAGTCGCCGGGCGATGCTTTCGCGTTCGGCCCTAGGTGGGTAAGAGACAGGGGGCGTAACAATAGTGTTAACCAAAAATAGGCCAAACATAAAGCGGTGAGCATTGAAGAAGCGTGGCGTTTGTGGGCCCGTTGGGGACAGTGCGCAGGTGGTGGCGTCACCGACGCCAGCTGTGATTCCGACGGCGACCGCGTCGCCGCTCTCGCGGGGGGGGCTTAAAAAGAAGTCGGGCGCTAAAGACCAGCCC